GAGAGAGAGAGAGAGAGAGAGAGAGAGAGAGAGAGAGAGAGAGAGAGAGAGAGAGAGAGAGAGAGAGAGAGGGATATGTGTAACATTTCTTTTAATCTGTCTACATACATTTTACGGAAAATTTATGCATAATAATATTTTTCACCTAAAATTAAGAATTACAAAACATATACAATACAATTCTAATTATTGATAATAGAAAATATGTTATTTATAAAACTATACACTATTAATTTCAGATTTGGAAAATAAAATTCAACCTTCAACACACAAATTTTTTTGTGATGTTGCAATTATAAATACACACAATAACTACCTATTGATACTGAAGTTACTTTGTTCCATCTCCTCAATGTAAAATATTGTGTACCAGCATTTTTCTGTGCCTGATGCTTTACCTCAAAGACGGTGGTCTTATGATATAAAATCTAATACTTCTAAAACTTTGTATTATTAAGTCCATAATTTGAATTTGTATATATCCGCACAGGGTGCGGACCGGTCACCTAGTTATATATAAATGAAAATAAATTTACTAGATGGCTCAAATCCAGTTTTGAACAATCTATTTGACATTCTAAATCTTCCATTTGTAATCTGAGACACACAATAAAAAGGAAAATATGTTAGGATTCATTTAAAAAAGTACATGTGAAATACGACATACAATATAACAATAAAATGTAAAAGGAAAACCAAGTAAGACATAATAATATGCATAAACAACAGACGAATTTAATGCATAAGTGAATCAGTGGAAACATACAAGGACAAGCACTCAATAATCTACATAAACCAAACATTTATTTTATTTACAAAAATCCAAAAGTCGATTCTGTTTACACGAGTTCTTGAGTCTATTCTACATGGGTCGATGATCTATTTCCCCACAAGAAATATCATATAACATCAAATATCCACGGAACTATGACCCCGTTCTATTTACCTCCGAGAATAAAGTTTGCAACCTATTTCTCCACCAAATTTGGTTTAGTTATGATTTCTGAAAACCGAATTTCAAATCTCCACTCTCATATAATAAAACCGAGCAAAACTAAACCAAAACAAAATTAAAAACCCACTCTGATCTAGATCAGAACAATAACCCGATCCAACATTCGAACTTAAAAATATCCGACTGATTGAATCTCAATCTGATTAGTCATTGGCTTAACATGATCTACGGTTTGTTTATAAACACTAAACCAATAAAAATCGATTTTGTGGGTTTTTAGATTTCGATCTTTATAATCGTGGGGAAATATCGATATTACTTTAATTTATTGGGGAAATAGATTGCAAACTTTATTCTCAGGGATAAATAGAACGGGGTCATAGTTCCATGAACATTTGGTGTTATACTATACTTCTCGTGGGGAAATTGATTGTCGACCCACAAAACGTCATATTTCCCCATGAGAAGTATCACATCTTTCCATATGTCTTCCAAACTATTTCCTCATTCCAGATGTTCCCGAAATAAAAGTTCGAGATCTATTTCCCCATGAAACTAAAATAGAGCACTTATATCCCCCTGAAGTTAAATTTCGAAAGCCATAGCCCCATAAAATTAAATTACACGGTTTAAACCTATAATAATAAACCATTTTGGGTAATTAAACCAGATTTAGACCAAAAAGACCCGATCAAGATCCGATTACAACACTCAAACCAGAATTAACAACCGAGAAACCCTATAACCCTATGATTTCAATCGAAAATCAAAAATAAAAACCCTAGAAACACAAATCACAACACAAATCACGGAGAGAAAAAAAAAGAAAGAAAAACGAAGAGAGATGGCTTTAGTTGATGATGTCGATGCGAGCGAAACCACAAATCACAACACAAATCACGGGTTGTTCCTTGTTTAATGTTAAGTTCCGAACCGGTTTTTGGTTTTGTTTTTGAGTTTGGCGGTTTGGTCTCTTGATTGTACCAAAAAATGTCTTAACCAATATCAAATTAAGTTTCATGGGGAAATAGATCTCGAACTTTTAATTCGGGGACATCTGGGATGGGGGAATAGTTTGGGAGACATATGGAAGGATGCAATACTTCTCGTGGGGAAATAGGAGGTCTTCCCTATAATAAACACACAGTATATCGGTAAGTTAAGGTAATTGATAACAAAATGATCTATAATTTTTTTTGTATACTATACAATATACAATGTAATTTTCCTTGATAAGGATATAAATCATTCCAATTACGAGAGAATCTATATTATTATTTGCGAAGTGATTTTTCGCAACGGAGCTCCCACATTAAAAGTTGGGGTGGTTAATATTGTTTATACCCTTAATGAATAAAATATATAGATCAGCCAAAAATAAAAAACGAATTTATATTTATTTGATTAGATAAATGGTTTAAATTAATAATAATGATAAGAACTATCCATAATCCAAATATATATTTAAAAATAAAAAAATAATTCATATATATATATTGTGTCGTTATCCAAAAAATATATTTAATAAAAAATTCAAAAACAGAAAACACATAAATAAATATTCATAAAGTAAAGTATTTAATTTTATATAATTGAAAAGAGAAAATTGAAAAAATTATAATACATAATTATTTTTAAATTAAAACTAATATTATTCTTTATGTAAGATCAATTTTTAAATGTATATTTATCGATTCATTTTTTCAAATTGAAAGATATTTTTTATCAGTTAAGAAAAAATGAAATAGACTTTAGATTTTTCAAAGTTTTAAAGGAAAAAAAATAGATTTTTTAAAAATTTGTGAATAACTTTATCATGTAAAAAATTTATGTTTTAGGTCGAATTTTTTGGATTCAAATAATCATTTATTTTGATGATTTTTTAAATTGACTTAAAGATAATTAAGTCCGCATGTGCAGGTATATATAATTTGTTGGAAAAGGAAGAAGAGAATTGATACAAAAAAAAAAAATTAAAGTTGGGAATAAGAAGAAGAAATAGCGTAGACCAAACGCTTATCCCCAAATATGTGGATTTTATTCCAAATTCTTTAAACTGTTCCAATTATTTCTTTTATATATATTCACAAAGCGAGAGATAGGGAAATCAAAAACAAAAATCTTTAAGCAAGAAAAAAAGAAAAAAGAAAATGCAGATCTTCGTCAAAACCCTGACCGGGAAAACCATAACCTTAGAGGTTGAAAGCAGCGACACCATCGACAATGTCAAAGCCAAAATCCAGGTCTCTTATTCTACTCTTAGGGTTTTGGATTCGTAACTAACTGTTGGAGATTACTTCGTTGATTCGATAGGTACGACTTATAGGGGTTTTAGTCTAAAGAAAAGCCGATGTGAATTGCTAGATAATAGCTAATTGATTGTGAGATCGATAAAAGTTGGATCTATATAGACGCATGCCTCTCTCTTAATTTGATTGTTGTAAACAGGACAAGGAGGGAATACCACCGGATCAACAGAGGCTGATATTCGCTGGTAAACAACTAGAGGATGGTCGAACCCTTGCGGACTACAACATCCAGAAAGAGTCCACTCTTCACTTGGTCTTGAGGCTCAGGGGTGGGACCATGATCAAGGTCAAGACTCTCACTGGCAAAGAAATCGAGATTGATATCGAACCTACCGACACGATTGATCGCATCAAGGAACGTGTTGAGGAGAAAGAAGGCATCCCTCCTGTCCAACAAAGGTCAAATATTACTTCCTTTTAACAATCACTTAACAATTATGTGCCGCAATATTAATTCCCCACAACTTATTTTGTAGCTCCTATGTTTTTCTTGTCTAATTGTCATTTGTTTGATTCTACAAACATTTTCTTTTGCGGTTTATTGTCATATGCAACTTAATTTTTCATGTTTTAGTGACTGTAAAAAAAAACTTTTTGTTGCACTATTGAGAATTGCATCTCCTTTCTAATATGTTTTCTTATTTTCCCACCACTTGGTTGTAGATCTTTTGTTGTTCTTGTCTCGTGATGATATGTCGGCGTTGTTTGCAGTTTGCAGTTTGCCAAAACTGATTGTAGAAAACAATTTTTTTTTGTGGGTTATCGCAATATGCAACTTGAATTTTCATTTTTTAGTGACATACACATACAAAATGTGTCTGGTGCCCTTTTGCATCTCATATCTAATGTGTTTTATTATGTCCTTGCCACTCGTTGATTATACTCTGTGAAAGCTGTTACATATTTTGGAGCAAAATAGCAAGCGTTAACATATGATGTTTTTTTTTTTTGCAGGCTCATCTACGCTGGAAAACAGCTAGCTGATGACAAGACGGCAAAAGACTACAACATCGAGGGAGGCTCTGTTCTGCATCTGGTTCTTGCTCTTAGGGGTGGTTTTGGTCTTCTCTAGAATTTAGCTCTTTCTCTCTCTTTTCTATTATTTTAAAAAGAAATGACTGCAATTTGAGTTTGATGCTTTACTGTTTCAGTGGGTTTGGAATCAATGCACCAATAATCCGTTCAATATCGGATGATGCATAATACCTATGATTTTTATTTATTTTTGGATTTGGTTATCTTTCATTGTTTTTATCTTATAAGTTCCAAGCTATCCATGATCATTATTGTGAGAAAGAACATATTAAAGGGTCATACACAAAAAGTGACCGTTAATATTCGAACGTTAAGCTTTACAAGACATTAGCGTTGTGGAAAGAATCGGATTCTTTCAGAGCCTCCTTGCTTAATCATATATTTATATATATCAAGTAATAATCAAACACAACCAAGACTCCAAGAAACGCATTCACATTAAAGAAAGAAGTAGAAAACTAGCTCTCAAAGGTTTCGATGGGTTTGGTGGTGGTTATATCTCTTCCTCTGATTTTTTTCTGTCTTCTTCTTGGGTTTGGCTGCTATTTCCTCGGTAAAACTCGCAGCCGTCGTGAGATTCAAACAAATCATCAGGTGTACGGTGCTCCTGCCCCACCTCCCGGTGCAACCATCTCTGCCGCCTCCTCTCCGCCATTGTCTCCNTCTCAAAGGTTTCGATGGGTTTGGTGGTGGTTATATCTCTTCCTCTGATTTTTTTCTGTCTTCTTCTTGGGTTTGGCTGCTATTTCCTCGGTAAAACTCGCAGCCGTCGTGAGATTCAAACAAATCATCAGGTGTACGGTGCTCCTGCCCCACCTCCCGGTGCAACCATCTCTGCCGCCTCCTCTCCGCCATTGTCTCCTCCCACCAAGCCCGACAATTCACACAACGTCTGAGCTCCATCTCACTCTACTCGAGTATGCTTTTGTTTGATTTATTGTGAATTGCTGTATCTTTTCTTTTATTATAGTGTTTTTGGTAATATGTTCCTTTCTTGATTTGTGTATTTTCTATGTAAATTGGAGAGCCATTGATGTCATTAAGAAAGTTTAACAAATGGTATGGACCGTTTGGATCCAAGTATTTGTTAACATAGTGTAATCAACCAATAATAATTTCGAATATAGATTGATCAAAAAGAAATATTTGAATATAGATATAGGATGTTTCAGCAAAGAACAGAGTACCATTTTAGATTTAGACCAAAGCAGCAACACTTCAAACTTAGGCTGTTTTAACTAGTCACCATTTATCCGGATCCAAAAATTTGAACAAAAACTAACCCAAAAATACAATTCCAAAAAAAGGAAGACTTGGGTCTGAGTCCAATACAAAATACTTATTGATTATTTTTTATTGGACCTATAGATATTGGTTTGGGTTCAGATTTTCATAAGATCTAATCGGGTATATCGATATTTCAAATATACTTTTGGGTATTACACAAATATTTTTAAAATTGTAGTTCATGTTTTTGGTTATAGTTACGGTTAAAATCTCAAATTCTGAAAATATATATTTTGGGTATTTGGATAAAGTTTTGGGTCTTTTTATGTTCCACGAGTCAAATTACCGACAAATTTTTATTTGAATATTTTTAGGTATTTTTGGATTTTCAGATATTTTTTTTCAAATTTTCAAGGATTTTTTTTTTAGATTTTGGGTATGTTTGGATTTTGAGTACAAATTTACTTAGAACCTTCCTGAGTTCTAAATACCTGAACCGATCGATATCGTCTATGCCCAACAAAATTCATATATTTTACAGGTATTTTTAATTATGGATCCAAATCAACATGGATCCAAAATAACCAATCCGAACTGAAAATTTTTAATACCTAATTCGATCCAACTGTATACACAATTCAAAACGAACTGACATGAAATCGATCGACAGATCTGAATGTCCAAATTTAGTTTTAACGGAACCAAAATCTTGATAGTTAATAAATTTCCAAAAAGGGTGAAATGCACTTAAAAGATGAGTTCCTGATTAAGGTGTTCTTAAGTTCCAGTATTTTTTTGATCACAGGTAAAGCTTAGTAAAATAGATGGCTGTAATAGTTCAAGCAAATCCCCTATATATTATTTGAGAATCATTTAAAAAGTTGTAACCTTAAGTTTGTAAGAATTAAAAATAACCCTAATCCTACGTGGCATAGCTCTTTGGCTTCTATTTCAAATCCCAAGGATTCTAGAGCATGTGATATAATGTATAGTTTAAAAATTATATTCTCTAGCAATATAATATTCCGTAGGCTATAGTTGGTCGCATATATCAAATATTTATTCTTTCGCATACTTTCCTTAAATAAAACCTACGGAATTACCTAATGTGATCAATATATATATATGACAATTAATGATTTTAAACAATAAAGATTTGATAACAATCTGTATATTTTTTTCATTTTGTTTATTTCTTTATTATTAAAATAAATTACATAATTACAGTAATCATATAATAAAAATCTTGATTTTTTGTGTATGTTGTATTTCGAATTTTTCAAAATGAGTATAAATTACTAAAACTGTTAAAAATCCCACATAAACTTTTAAGATCAAGGTTTTAATTTTTTTTTCTATACTAAAATATAATGATTATAAGACCATATGAAGAAATAATTTTAGTTGATATATATTTAATATCATTTTAATTAAACTATACATCATATGAAAATACATACTTATATTTTGATATTTGCCTTGAACATATATTGAAAAGTTAATATTTTAATTTTGAAATATGTCATTGTTTTTTAAAATGATTATAAATTATTGAAACTACTAAACATCTCACATTAAAAAATATTCGTTGGTGTAAAGTTTTGTTACACAAATATGCAAATAATCATAAAATCATATGAGTAGAAACCTCATTTAATAAATATCCATATTAAAAATGTGTTATATTACTATGTTTATATCATTTAAATTTAATTATATATCATATACAATATATAAGATTGATTATTTTGATTTATTTACCCTAATTGTGAATAAACAAGAGTAATAGTTAAATTTATATGCATACGCCAATTTATTACATAATAGTAACTAATTTCTTAATTATTTAATATATATTTATTATTTTATTATTTATAATATGAATAAAAATATAAAATAAATAATAAATATAAAATACTTATTGTGCATTAAGTGCAGATCTTAACCTAAGTATGTATCTCTTTAATTATTTTAAATCTTAAGTATTTTCAAAAACAAACGAAATGAAAATAAAATTCAAAATAAATATTTATATCGAGTAATAACCAAAATATAAAAAAAAACATAGCAAGAGAAAAATGGAAGATAAATAGGACTGACACGTGCGTAAAATTCTCATAACCATAATTAATTTTTAAATTGTTAAATCATGATATAAAATTGAGTTAATTTTTAATTTGTTAATTTTTTAATTTTTTAAATCATAATGGTTATGTTAAATCATGACTATAATTAATTTTAAATTGTTTATTTGTATTTGAAAAACTTAAAATATTTTTTTTAAATAATAATTTGTAAAAAAATATAATTTTCTGACATTAATAGACAGATAAATAAATTATATTAAATTAGTTTTGAAACTTTATTTATTTTAAATGCAAATATTTTACCAATTGCTTCTTAAAAAACATTAGGGAACTTGCTAATACTCTACCAATCAACCCCAGTGACACTCCATTTATTTTCCATCACTCGAACACTGAAAAGTGAAAAGATATATGAAATCAGATACATTAAGTTCTAAGATTTGATCTACATTTCTAACTAAAATTGTTTCTTATCATACGTATAGATAATTATATAAAAATTTCAAAATTCTTAAATTTCAAATACATACAAAAACAATCATATGTAAATTTTAAATTTGTCAATACTAAAATTTTATATTTTAATTACATATATCCACCCCTTGCGCAGGTCTTATTCTTAATGTAAAGTATACTCGTATAATGTATTGTCTGATTTTGTAACTGGCGTTAATTATCACAATTTGTAACATTGATGAAATTTTTTATATAAACACTAGAGTAAACCCGCCCTACGGGCGGGCGAATAAATAAATTATTAATATAAATTTATTTTAAATGTTTGATGTTAACTAAAAGTAGATTGACATTTATAAATTTCTTACAACAATTTAAGTATTTATTTTACTATAACCATATTATATAATTATTATTTTTAACTATAAGAATAATTCACATAGATTTTTATAAACCGGATTAAGTTTAGTGAAGTTATTTTCCTCGGTATATACTTTCTATGAATTAAATTATTTTTACACATTGTTTCTTAAAATAATGATATACACGATATAAAAGAAGTAACTTATTATAGCTAAAAATATTTTAAGATAGATAATATGAAAATATCATTCATATAATTTATACATATACATGTGTGTCAGAATCTCATAGGTATTATTATTATATATTAGCATAATTGATTAGAATTTTCAAATAAATACTACTGACTCATATATTTTTCTATATTAATTTTGTTTTTATATTCCTCTGTTTTCCAAGAAGGCAAATACTGAGTCTCATAATGACTCCTTATTTGCTATGGGAATGGTAGTTTACTTAGTTTAACTCATTTCCACCAAATGTGTGTATAGTATTGGCGAACCAAGCCTCGGGTACGTAAACTCACTTCCAAAGCCCTCGAATCATCGTTGTGGATAGAATGATCTTTGCCTTCAAAGATCCCAACGTAAGCTTATGTTTCCTCTTCACCGTCTCTTCTCCAAACCCCCCACTCCAAGGAACCTGACCCATCTTATCCTCCGGATCCTTAGTTTCATCACTCGCTTAAATCCTCAATTGAACATTCAACAAAACATCAAGAGAATGCATCATCACCCCTGGTCATTCGTTCAAGGGTGAAAAGTTTGATGCTTAAGACATATTGTTTTTCTTGTTCAGAACTAACCATAGTACTGATTTTTTTTTTGGTGATTATTTTTGGGGCTATGCAGTAATGTAAGCAATTCAAATCTTTCTTACAAAAACAAAGTTGATATAAGAAAACAATGCTACATTCAACTCTTTCTTACAACAACAAAATTGATTTAAGAAACCATGCTGCATCCGATTACACTGAAACAATCTTATTTTGGTTCAAGAGTTGCAAAAAGTTAAAAATCTGGGTTTAGGTTTACACGCTTTTGGATTTGTTCACATTTATCGGGTCCGCATGTGTTTTTGTGTACTGGTGGATTCTCTAGGAATTAGACATAATCTGCTCAAACAAAAGTGTTGGATTTTGGTTAGACATCACTAATGTAAACATGGATTGCTGCAGCAAATCTTAACCAAACATTGATTTGATAATCGTGAAGACATCTTGAAATTCAAAGTTTATTTCAGTACCTGTCCTGCTACACAATCTGTGAGAATGTTCTGGATCGCAGGGTCTTGTATTACTCTAGACACAGCGTGGAAGAAGGAAAAGAAAAAGCTTAGCTCACTTGTTCTCTCTGAATCGTAAAAAAAGACGTAACAGTGAAGCCTTTCTTCTGAAACACAAAAGAGATTAGAGTGGACTTACTTTCGAGTCTTTTGGATTTCTTTGTATCGATTTAAATATGAGATGAAAATACTCTTTATGCTCCAACTCCTTCTTGACTCACTCAGACTCATTCAGCGTCACGTGTCTGAGTTATGGTGCTCCCGCAGAAGAGTTTTCTGATAAGTCTCGGTCACATATTCATAGTCTTTTGAGTGAGACTTTTGCCATCTTGTAATCTACATAAGCTTTCTACGTCTTCTAACGACGTTATCATAATCCTTGATGCACTAATCATACTGTATCAAACACATTTACATTAGACTGAACCTCGTGCCAAGCAACTCACTATAGACTAATACACATAAAAACTATACCTTGA